GGTAGAAATTCAGCCTTTGGCAGAAAAAGCTGAGGGACAGGTCCTAGGCTCAGTACTGGCATCCACACACACATAAGTTTTTTTAGGGTGAAACTAGGTAAAGAACATATAAACACAGAAGGACTCTACTAACTTCTAAGTTTTTCTATATAAATCTAGAATATTCCAGATTTACAATCCTAGAACTCATATAGAAACCTAAAAGACTCCTAAAAAGAGCAATCCTAAGCAAAAAGAACAACATTAGAAACATCAGACTTCAAATAATTCTATAGAGAAATAGTAATAAAAACAGCATGATATTGGTACAAAAAGATAGAAAGACAAATGGAACAAAAGACTCAGAAAAAGAAAATCACACTACACCCATCAGATCTTTGACAAAGGACCCAAAAGCATATATTGGAAAAAGACAGCCTCTTTAATCAATGATGCTAGGAAAACTGATTTTTTTTTACATGCAGAAGACTGAAATCATTTTCTCTGGTTTAAAAAAAAATCAACTCAAATAGATGAAAGATCATATGTAAGTCCTAAAACTACAAGAACCACATGAAAAACTAAAAGACATTGAGATAGGTAATTATTTTCTAAATATGACTTCAACTACCCAGGAAATAAGAAAAAAAGATAAGTGGTACTGAATTAAATTGAAAGTTTCTACACATTCCCTCCCTTTGACACATGAAATTTTGTGATCTTGGATAAGAATGTGGTGACAAACTGCTATGAAAACTTCCCCTTATTGAAAATGGAGGTGAAGCTCAAGCATTAGCCTTGAGCAAAAAAGCTAAGTAAGAGTATGAGGCTCTGAGTTCAAGCCCCAGTTCTAAAACACAATTTTGTTTTCCTGTATTTTCTTTCCCTTTGTCAGCTTCTCTACCCCCATTAATGTTTTTACTTAATTGTATTTATTATAGCAAATTCTTTGTTCAGGATCAAATAGGTGTAAATAAACAAGATTCGACAAGTTTAAAAAAAAAGTCTTTGCTACCCAAACAATTACCAAAAGAGAAAAAAAACTTCATCTGCTATTCAATGGATAAAGAATTACAAAATACAGAGGTCAAGAAATCAAACAGCAAAAGGATAAATAATCCAATTAACAGGTAAATTAGTTGACAATTACAGTGACTAATACATGAAGAAATTCAATGTTCTTAGCCATAAAGAAAATGTAAACTACAGTAAGATTACATATCACCCAAATCAGAATGTCATCATCAAGCTGACAAGGACCTAAGGAAAAAAAGAACCTTTATACATTGCTGGTAGAAATGTAAACTGGTACAGTAGAAAGGTTCATCCATAAGACTAAAAACAGACCTCTTTTTTTTTTTTTTGGTCAGTCATTGGCTTTAACACAGGGCCTAGGCAAAGTCCCCTGAGCTGGGTGTTTTTTTTTTTTTTAGTTTGTTTATGTGCTAGCTCTTCCAGTTTTTTGGTGATTAACTAAGCACTAAAGAATCTCACAGCCTGCCCTGGCTGGCTTTGAACCATGATTCTTATATCTCAGCCACTTGAGTAGCTGGGATTAAGGGCATGAACCCAGCATCCTGCAGACCTACTCTTCTTTATGATGTCACTATAATACTACTAGGCATATATGCAAGAGTCTAAATATTATGTAAGAAAGACACTTACATAGATATGTTTACTGCAGAACTAGTCACAATGACTAAGTAGTACAATCAGCAGAGATGCCTAACTGATGAATGGATAAAGAAAATTATGGTTTATATATTTATATATACACACACCACTGAATACTGTTCAACCATAAATAAAATTATACCATCTACAAGAAAATGGACAGAACTGGAGATCACCATGTTAATAGCTATAAGCCAAACTTAAAAAGCCAAATATTGGGCTGGAGGCATTGCACAAATGATAATTATAACCAGCAGCAAGCAAGCAAGCTAAGTAAACTTGAAGCCCTAAAATAATAATATCAACAACAGCAACAAGAAGAGGAGGAAAAAGAAAAAGGAAAACCATTAAATATGGTATGTTCTGGCTTATTACTAGAGACCTAAGATGATGTTGATGTCAAGGACGATCAACAACAGTAGTGGTAATGTATGAATATAAAAGGGGGAACTTTCTTGTAGGAGATACAAGGGATTAAGCTAGCAGTAGGAAAAGGAGGCCACACTGAGGGTTTGTGAAGATCTAGCGTTATCTGTTACATACATGAAGACAGCATAATGAAACACACCAAATGTTTTGAAATGAAATGAATTTGTACAAAGTACACTGTGTATATACATTGAAATATCACATATTACAATGTATTTGAGTTCAAAAATTTTTTAAATACAATTAAGAAAATCATTCTATGGAGACTTAAAAATCCCCCTGATACACTCCCAATTTTTAAAAAGTTATTTTAAAAGACTAAAAACCATAGCTGGGTGTCCATGGTTCATGCTTGCAATCCTAGCTACTCAGGATGCTGAGATCTGGAGATTGAGGTTCAAAGTCACTTCAAGCAGGAAAATCCATGAGACTCTTCTCTCCAATTAAGTATCACAAAAGCTAGAAGTAGAGCTGTGGCTCAGGTGGTAGAGTGCTAGCCTTGAGCAGAAAAGTTCAAGGACAGTGGCCAGCCTTGACCCCTGGACCAGTTTAAAAAAAAAAAGAGAGAGAGACTGAAGATAAAACAAGTATTTAAGTTTTAGTTAATCAAAAATGTTAACTTGTTTTCAGGTAGGAAAGAAAAAAAGTGATTGTAGTTTAAATACAATTTCCCACAGAAGAACTAAGGCTTCTTGAAGGAATTAGCTGATTGTAGATCTGGAGTTGAAAATACACAAAAGGAGGATCCTAGAACTTTTTATTATACCAGAAAATAAAGGAGTTTTTCTAAGTCTACTGATCAATATTTTCTCATAAATATGTCCAAAAAACCCGTTAAGGCAAAGTTGCTGAGTTCAGTGTTTAAAATCAACATGGTACACTATCTTACTAGTTAAAAGTCCATTTGATCAAATCAATCAATGCAGAAAACAAATCTAATATCCAATCATGATTTTTAAATAATAGGTAGTTCCTCAACTGGATAAATACCATCTACAAAATACAGACACACATGCACACATACACATGCATACACACACCCTAGAGCTCCAATTTACTGAATGGTGAAGTGAATGTTAAGGATGTCTACCCACTCATACGACATAGTGCTCACTTAGAGTAGAATAAGAAAATGAACTGAAAGGTTTAGTAAGTTGAAAAGAAAAAAACTTGAAAACCATTTGCAGATGTCATAACTGGTCTACATAGGAATCTCAGCAAGTCCACAAAACTCCAAAAATTTACAAGCCAGTATGGCCAGATCACAGGCTATAAAGCCAATACACAAAAACTAATTACATTGTTCTATACTAATGAATATGTACAAACAAGTAAAAACAATCAAATTTATAACTGTTCTGAAGAAAATTAAAATACATATGTGAAAATCTAACATCTAAAACTTGTATTTGAAAACTACAAAACACTAGAGAAAGAAATCAAAGAGAATCTAACAAATTGACTCTTTAAGGAGACTATGGAGACTTTAAGGAGTCTATGGAGACTTAAAAAGCCAACTGGAAAGTTGGTTTACAAAAAAGTCAATTTTGCCGGGCGCTGGTGGCTCACACCTGTAATCCTAGCTACTCAGGAGGCTGAGATCTGAGGATCGAGGTTCAAAGCCAGCCCGGGCAGGAGAGACCGTGAGACTCCTATCTCCAATAAAACCACCAGAAAACCGGAAGTGGCGCTGTAGCTCAAGTGGT